CCCAGATCTTCCAGTGGGTATCAATGAAAGATTGCTGAAGCTACGCTTCCCACTAAATGCCAAACGTCATGTCACCATCATCAGTGCATATGCACCCACTTTAACATGCTCTGACAACTCAAAGGAACAATTCTAGGAAGATCTCGACAGACTGATCAAGGCCACACCTGTAACAGATAAACTACTCCTACTTGGAGATTTCAATGCCCAAGTCGGGGCTGACAGCAAGAACTGGAAAGGAGTAATCAGGCCACATGGTGTAGGCAAAATGAACAGTAATGGACTACTTCTTTTGAGTCTTTGTTCTGAAAATGACCTGACCATTACCAACACTCTGTTCCGACAAGCGGACAAATACAAAACGACGTGGATGCACCCTAGGTCCAAACAGTGGCATCTGATAGATTATGCCATTGTTAGAAGGCGAGACATCCGAGACGTACTGATTACCAGAGTAATGCGAGGAGCAGAGTGCTGGACAGATCACAGATTAGTCAGGACGTCTCTTCAACTCTACATCATTCCTTCTTGGCACAAATGCCCTAAGCATGTGCGACCTGCTTTCAATATAGCCAAACTGAAGGATGCTCAATGTTTCAACAAATTCCAGAAGAGTCTTGATGACAAACTGACATCCCATGGACAACTGATGGGTACTGTAACCGAAAAGTGGGACCAGTTCAAGCAGATAGTGACTGACACAGCAATAACATCTCTTGGACCAAAGAAAAGAACACATCAGGATTGGTTTGATGAGAACCAAGAAGGAATATGCTCAGCATTGGAAGTAAAGAGAAAAGCCTTTATCGAATGGCAGAATGACCCCTCCTCAGTCTCTAAACAGGACCATTTCAAGTACCTTCAGAGCAAAACACAGAAAGACCTCCGTCAGATACAAGACAACTGGTGGGAGAGCAAAGCCAAAGAAATTGAGCACTATGCTGAGACCCACAACTTAAAAATGTTCTTTAGTGCTATTAAGACTGTCTATGGACCCTTTAAACCAAGGACCACCCCATTGCTCTCATTAGACAACACAGTGCTGATTAAAAATAAAGAAGGCATCAACGAAAGATGGCAAGAACACTTTAGCAACCTTCTCAATAGACCATCAACCGTGAATAATAATGTCCTTAATGAAATTCGACAACAACCTGCTCTGACAGATCTTGACTTTCTGCCCACTATAGATGAGATTAAGAAAGCTGTTAGCCAGATGAGTTCAGGGAAAGCTCCTGGAAAAGATGGGATACCAGCAGAGATATATAAAGCAGCAGGTCCAGTAGCACTAGCAGCATTCCACAGCGTGATCATCAACATCTGGGAGGATGAAAACATACCACAGGACCTTCGTGATGCTACTATTGACTCTCTTTTCAAGAACAAAGGCAGCAAAGCAGAATGTGGAAACTATAGAGGCATATCCTTCCTCTCTGTTGGAGGGAAGATCATCGCCCACATCATCTTGAACCGCCTAATAGCCAGTATTTCCGAGGCAAATCTACCTGAAAGTCAATGTGGTTTTCGACCTGGCCGGAGCACAGTCAACATGGTGTTTGCTGTCAGACAAATACAAGAGAAGTGCATTGAACAGAACATGCATCTGTATGCTGTCTTCATAGATCTGACAAAGGCGTTTGATACCATCAACAGGGAATCCCTTTGGACCATTCTAACACGACTTGGCTACCCAAGAAAATTTGTCCAGATTATACGCCTTTTTCATGACAGCATGACAGGCGAAGTATTGTCTGATGGAGCCACATCAGCCCCCTTTAACATCACCAACGGCGTGAAACAAGGATGTGTTCTCGCTCCTGTCCTATTTAACCTGTTCTTTGCATGTGTCCTTAACCATGCAATGAAAGATCTGGACCGAGGTATATATTTGAAATACCGGCACGATGGTTCACTTTTTGACCTCCGTCGCCTGAATGCAAAGACGAAGACAGTGCAGAAACTCTTTCTTGAGGCACTCTTTGCTGACGACTGTGCCCTCATGGCTCACACTGAAAATGATCTTCAGCACATTATCAACAAGTTTGCTGAGGCCTCGCAACTTTTTGGACTAACTATCAGCCTCGGAAAGACAGAAGTTCTCCATCAACCTGCACCTGGATCAAATGCTTCTGTCCTGAGTATCTCCATCGATGGCTCTCAGCTGAAAGTAGTGGAGAACTTTAAATATCTGGGTAGTGTCATATCCAGTGATGGATCACTGGATAATGAGATCAATGCACGAATATCCAAAGCAAGCCAGGCACTTGGCTGTCTGCGTATCAAAGTTTTAAATCACCACAACATCTGGATGTCAACAAAACTGCTTGTGTACAGAGGAGTTGTTCTTTCATCTCTTTTGTACGGGTGCGAAACATGGACACTATATAGGCGTCACATCAAGCAGCTCGAAGTATTTCACATGCGCTGCCTCCGCAACATCATGAAGATCCGCTGGCAAGACAAAGTGCCCAATCTCGAGGTCCTTGAGAGGGCCCAGATAACAAGCATCGAAATGATGATCATGAAGTCACAGCTACGTTGGACCAGTCATGTCAGCTGCATGGATGCCAACAGAATCCCCCGCCAGCTTCTGTATGGTGAGCTCTCCCAGGGCATCCGGCATATAGGTCGTCCACAGAAATATTACAAGGACACCATCAAAGCCAATCTGCAGTACAGCAGTATCAAACCTAGGGACCTTGAGGACGCCGCCAGCGACAGAACACAGTAGCGTGCAACAGTCAGAAATACCTGTATCACCTTTGAGGAAGACCGCTGCTGGCATCTACAAGAGGCACGCGAACGAAGTCACAGAGCATCAGCAGCGCACAATCCACTGACCACAAACTTCCCATGCACCATCTGCAGCAAAATGTGCACCTCTAGAATTGGCTTGTACAGTCACCAGAGGGCACACCATAAGACCAACAACTGATGATCTGCACAGATTTGTCATCATCGGATTCGATGGACTACCAAGGAATGAAGTTGAACAGCTCCTGACTACTGTCCAGGCTGCCTGTGTATGGCTTCATGAGCCATGGCATTAAGGGGTAGGCTGGGTCCCCAAGGCTAACTATAGGCATGTCAATGTCCCCAACAATTATATTCTGGTCTGGAAAGTAAATCCCTTGCTGCAGACATTTAAACAGACTAGTGTTCCTGAAGACGCGAGAAACGTCCCTTGTGATCCACCAGTGCTTGCAGCACCATTGAAAAGTACCCCTTGCAGTTTATGTACTGGCTGCTCTGGTGGTCCGGTGCCAAAATAGGGATATGGGTTCTATCTGTCGCCCCACCACAGTTAGGGAATCCCATTGCAGCAAAGCCATCTACTATGACCTGCACATTTCCCAGAGTCACTACATTTGGTAGCAGCAGCTCAGTGATTGCTTTGGCTACTTGCATCACAGCAGCCCCCACAGTAGATTTGCCCACTCCAAATTGATTCCCGACTGACCGGTAGCTGTCTGGCGTTGCAAGCTTCCACAGGGCTATCGCCACTTGTTTCTCAACTGTGAGGGCTGCTCTCATCTTGGTATTCTGGCGCTTCAGAGCAGGGGAAAGCAAGTCTCAAAGTTCCATGAAAGTGCCCTTATGCATGCGAAAGTTTCGCAGCCACTGGGAATCGTCCCAGACCTGCAACACTATGCTGTCCCATCAGTATGTGCTTGTTTCCCGGGCCCAGAATCGGCATTCCATGGCATGAACCTGCCCCATTAACACCATGATCTCCAAAGCGCCGAGGCCTGCGCTTTGAGAGAATTCTGTGTCCATGTCCTGATCACTCTCGTCGCCGCGCTGCCATCGCTGCCGCCTCCTCGCCTGGTTTTGCAGGTTCTGGTTCAGCATAAACTGCACGATAATGCGCGAGGTGTTTACAATGTTCATGACTGCTGCGTTGAGCTGAGCGGGCTCCATGCTTGCCGTGGTATCGCGTCTGCACAGGTAACCCAGGAAAAAAGGCACGAAACAGTTGTCTGCCATTGCTTTCGTGGAGAGAGGGAGGGAGGGAGGGAGGGAAGGAGGGGCTTGATGACATATACCCAGAACCACCTGCGACAATGTTTTTTGCCCCATCAGGCATTGGGATCTCAACCCAGAATTCCAATGGGCGGGGGAGACTGCGGGAACTATGGGATAGCTACCCACAGTACAACACTCCGGAAGTCGACACTAGCCTCGGTACTATGGACACACACCGCCGAATTAATGTGCTTAGTGTGGCCGCATGCATTCGACTTTATACAATCTGTTGCCAAAAATCGAATTCTGTAAAATCGGAGTAATCCCGTAGTGTAGACGTACCCATAGTAAACAATAGTTTTATGTGCTGGGAAAAGGTGAAGTATGGAACCTGAAGAATATACTTTTGGAATTTCAGGGAAAGCTTAAAAAACATTGAGCTTAACCAAAACTTACACGTGCTAACCACAGACGTGCCATGGCAACTAACTGACATAATTGCTAATGAGTGTAACTTAAATGCCTAAGTGATCTGTTGAAGTTAGGGATCCTGATATTAACAAGGTATGGAAGTACATATAATGAAAGGAGGCGAAAACCATCACTGGATATGTATAAGATATGGAGGGCATTAATGTAACCCATTTATAAAAGGAATTACCCAGCCTGTAGGCCAGTGGTGCCCAAATTTTTCCGTTCGCCCTCCCCCCAGTAATGGAATCTGTCCACACCCCTCCTCCATCACTGTACAGTTGGGTCAGCAGAGGAGCTTGGGCTGAAGGTGGAGCTGAGGGTAGAACTGCGGATGGGGTCGGAGAGGGAATGAGGGCAGAGTTGGCCTGGGGTCATAGCAGGGGCCGGAGTGGAGCTGTGGCTGGAACTGGGCTGGAGGCCGGGAGCGGGGCTGGGAGCAGAGCCGGGACCAAGCCAGGAGCAGAGCCTCAAGCAAGGCCAGGAGTTGAGCCAGGGCTGGGGATGGAGTGGGGCTGGGTGGCGCTCCCTTCTCACCCCTTATGGGGGCTGGCCCAAGCCCCATCATGCCCCCCAGAATGTTCCTTCATGCCTCCCTAGGGGGGCATTCTCAACAGTTTGGGGACCACTGCTGTAGGCAGTGGGATATGTTGGGACCTGTTGACCTGATGATCACCCACTAATTGCCTCACCTACTTCACGGTTCTCTGCAAGGGATGATGTGAGTAATGCAAGTATTGGACATTCTGTATTGGCTCTATCACCTTTACTATATTACATTTTGTTATTTTGTTTGTTTTGCTAATAAACTTTATAAAGTAACTAGTCAGAGAACATGTAGTGGATTGTGTCTTGTGTGCTCCTCGAGGGCCTCATTCTAATGACAATGTCACCACTGTAGATGATTCAGAGGCAGAACCCTCTCAGACCACTGCATGGCCGATAAAATTAAATATCCCCTGACAGATCAGGCTACACTTCACTGTTAATTTCTGTGCTTTTAAATACTTTGGGTTTATTTAAAGTGTAGTATTCCTTGGTGTGCATGTCTGTACGCGCACACACAAACACACATACATAGTAGCCACCTTGAAGTTATATAAATTTGTTGCCTGATAATATAATGAATAGATGGCAATGACTCTTCTATCATCTCCATGCAGCTGCCACTTATACACAGCAAGCCCCCAGTCATAGAATTATTTATGAAATTACAGTCAGGGAGAAGAAAAACTGGTGTTCATGCACAGCAGTGGCTTTTCTAACAGGTTCATTTGAAATCTGCTTTTGGGAAGCATCAATGAAGGGTCTTTGTAGAGCTGCTGTTCAGTTATTACCAGCTCCTACCACCTGCTGCTGTTTGAGTCTTTTTTCCTGGGAAAGCTGAAGGGTCAGCTCTAAAGGGTGCTCATTTTCTGATTGCTTGGCCTTCAAGAGCTAAACCCAGGATAGTGAAATGAAGCATTTCATCTGACCATGTTTGAGCAATCAGATCTTGCATCCAGTGTAATAACCTTAAATCATCCCTGAGAATGCACCCTGTGGGTTTGTGAGGGAGTCTGATGCTCCAGGGTATCTGCTTTAATGTGTTTGCCTTACCAGGGAAGCTGAATGGCCTTTACCTTGGACACTTCCCTTTAATGTAAGCTTTTCATATGCTAATAAAGTGTTTCTGAAAATGCAAAATGATTTTTCCAACACCTGCTGCCCTTAAACAGCAACAAAATCTTCACTTCAAGCATATTCTTAAGTGGTGCAGGATTTTAATGGGCCTTTTCTCAATCCTGATGGAAAGCCAGTAACAATGATTTTCTAATCTTCAAGGGATTTCTTTCCATTTCAAACTCCCTTCTGATGCGCATCGACTCTTAGCTCAGCCTCAAGAAAACTCAGAATGTCTCCTCAGGGGGTCCTTACTTTTCCTCCTCAGAAGTGAGCTACTCTTGTTATGCTCAGCACAGTACTCTGATACATCACATAATTAGACTTCTCAATCTTTTAAGAAGATTCCCCTTTCAAGACTGAGGGGAAAAACAACT